CTGTACTTACTATTGCCAGGTGCTCGTCTTCTCTTGTAGAAAAATGCTTGGTACAGCATCCCGCAGCAAAAACATACACCCAGAGCTGCTAGAGTCGTGTACATGGTGGTGCGGAAATAGGGACTTGCCGGCTCAAAGAATGTTACAGGTTCTTCCTCTAAAATTTCTCCCTGTGTAGACGGCAGTCAATGAAAAAATGCTCGCTCAGAAAATAAGCTAGATAAAAGCTAGATTTCTTATCTCCTCTGGTGATAAACGTAACCATTTTTATCATTATATTGGCTAGAGAATTATTCAATCACAAGTCACGTGTGAGAGGGCCAAGAGAGTAAGGCTTATCTGTACAACAGGCCCGCAATGCGTATTTAATTTACGTCCTTCACCTCATCTTCCGCGTTTTCATTTGCGTCTTGTAAATATTCTGACTGTACATCTTTAGCAATGATCATTTTCTTCAATTCTTCCACCAGGCTAACAGCATGGCCATGTAGAAGAACTCCATGAGAGATCTCAACCTCTAGTAGTTTGCCAATTTCATACCAAGAACCATTAAACAAATCCTTTCGTTTAACCGGCGTGTACATATCTACCATAATGCTCTCAATTGCGCGGTCTTTTAAAGCCCTCACAAGATGTTCCACATCTGGAAATTGTTTTCCTGGAAAGTGTAAGTCATGTTATTGTTTAAGAACAATAAGGAGTGACGTTGGCATTTTCTGAGTTGTACTTTGCAGAAGATAAATGTGTTTAAAACTGTGTTAGGTAAAAATGGAGCCTGTATGAATCTTGCTATTATAGGCTTATTTTACGAGTAATTCCCACTTTAATATCACCTGTAGCTCAGCAATATGGTATTTGAGCAATACTCCGAAGGATCAAGTTCCCTTCGGAGGTTCCTTCTTTCCTTTCTGGTGAACAATACTTAAACTAAGATAATCTAGAGCCATTTTTTTTCTTTGATGAGCAAATTTTAAAATTTCTTTTATCTTTTCATACTTACACATGAACATATCTATCATATTTTCATTAATTATTAGATAATTAATTGTAGTTAGGTGTTCCCAATTAGTGTACACTGTATGCTAGCGATTTCGACACAATAATAAAGTTCGCACCTATCTTATCTTATCAACTTTATGATATTCTAATCGCCAATTGTCAAACCATTCACAAGAAAAATACAAAAAAAAATCTTACCAAGATTGACTTTGCTACTAAGAGAACCAACTGCAACACGTTGTTCAGGGGAATCAGCCACAACTGCAACCTGAAGTAATTTCGTTACATTTGTGATAAAAAGTCGTGGGAGAAATCTCTACCGTATAAATGTTTTCTATCTGTGTCTGTCTATTTTCCCCGCCTAATTAGTGAAGGAAATTTGTGCTGAAACGCGTGAAGTTTACCTGCCATCTTAACTGGGGCCAAACGGAAAGATTTGCTGAGGTCAGGAGGAGATGGGGACTATTGCAATAATTTTTTAAATTCTTTTCGTTGTGTTGTTCTGGACTTCATATGAACACCCAGAGAGTGAGACTCAGTTACCGTTTTCACATCTGTTCCTTGCGGTGATCCAATAGTTTTCCTGACGGTGGTAACAGTCAGCAGGGAAGTTAGGGTTCCCATGAACACAGAGAAAATCACAAGGCCGATAAGAAACCAGATCATGGCGAACAATTTTCCAGGTATGGACTTCGGACAGAGATCACCATACCTTGGAAAAAAAAACTGTTTTTATTGACTGTAGCTGTGGAACACCAAAAAAACTTTCAACTCGCTGGTTTCGATGGCGGTTTAAAGAGGCTAATAACTGGAAGGGGACTGACTTGTTTTACTGCCAAGAGCCAATTAGTCTCGGAAAGAGGTCAGCACTCACCCAGGATTACAAGTTAAACTTGGCCTTAATATTGCATGTAAATGCGTAAATTGCGTACCGCAATTTTGCGGTAATGCAAAATTGAAGGCATAGGAATGCAAACAATTCAACTGTCCAAAACAACTACACAACTACATAAAAAATTACAATAAACTTGAGTTTGCATAATATAGTGTTGAGAACATAACCTGGCTAAGATTTTCAAAAAAAAAAATCACAAGAGTCTTTCATAGCTGTAGTTTTGTTATTTGGTCTTTTCTCCCAAACGCTAGATCAATTAGGAAACAATTTTTTCCAGGTAGAACGTTATTATTTCTCTTACCCGACAGTTGTCATAGAAATGAAAGACCACCAGAATCCTTGACCAGCTCCCTTAACGAACTGACGTGGAAATTGTTCAGAGTTTTCCTTGGAATCCTGTGAAGAACAGAGAAATACATTACAAACGAGTGACTTCTTAGCAGGGTACAAATAGCTTAGAACCGTACTGCAGTGGCAACGGAGTGATTTGTGATAATCAGCATTACTCCAGTTGCATATTATGTTCCTCGTGAGAAATCAAAATGGATATAATGTATATCCTGTTTGACTGCGAAGAATGAACATAGGACGGTGAAGATAACGAGAACTCTTGTTTGTTATGGGTTTAATTTTAAAAAAAAAATTGAGTTTGAGTTGTTATCTACATAGAAGATTACGCAAACCGTGTTGTTTAGAGGTTCGTTGGAATAAGGCAAAGAAAGATTTTTCAAAAGAAGGGGTGTCCTACATCCTCCATTCTTGGGGGCGTAAGACCCCATGACCACGCCCTTGTGTAGTCCTGAAGTAATTTTTGAGACATTTCCTGATACCTACCAAAAACCAGATAATTATTCCTGCTAACGTGGCCATCACCACGGTCACCACTGCGATAGGCCACGATGATAGAGCTGAGCCACTTGCCACTTGGGTCAACACCTTGCTTAAGTCGGACTTCCTTGTTATCACCAATACTCCTGGAACTGTAATCACCGGTACAAACTTGCTATATTCACTCTGCCCGTATGAGGTTTTGCTCACTGGAAAATTAATTAATCCATTGCTGTCGTCACTCTTATTACTATAAATAATTTTCGTGGTGTAATCCTCGCATTTACCACAAGTGTCTAGGAGAAGGTCCGATATCACTTTTGTCAGTGCGGAGGTGATAGTGTCTTGCTTTGAGTCTTTGATTCCACCAGCAGAACGAGCTGTGATAAACTCCGCGCATGCGCAAGTTGCTGTCGAGATGAAAGCACGACCATGATCAATATGTAGCTTTTTTAAACAAAACCAACAGACTGTTAAATAAAAAATACCTTAAGTCTGGAGCACCTGGGTTAAAATATTATTCTATCATTAGAAAAGGCGTAGTGTTAGGGTTGTCTCTGCTTTAGCGTTGAGCGTTGTGTTATATCAGAGGCAAGTAAAACCCAGAGAAAAATTGAAACTTCGATGTGACAACACGCAAATTTTTTCCCTCGTATATCACTTTTCATTCAGAGAAAGATGTTTTTCGTCTTGTCACGAGCGTGGGATAAAGAAAGAGTTCTGAGTCCCCATGAGGAATTGAACCTCACACCATCGGATTCCGCGCTCCGATGATCTACCTCTGAGCTGAGAGAGACTCTACGGTGAGTGAGGTCTATTACGAAGTTCATATGACTTGTGTCCTGCTTACTGCTAGGACCAGCCATGTCGATAGCGTCATGTTCGTAAATAGAATAAGAGAGACGTGTAAAGTACCAAAGTACCAACCTCCATACACTGCCTCGCTGTATTTTCCAATGCCTTCTGATGTGATTACCGCCATTTTGATCTCATACCGTGCAAATGGTAATAGGTCTGTTAGATTGAACTCTGTTTTGGACTGGTAACAACTGAACATCAGCGACGTCCACAAAGCATCGTCTTTCGGAATTCCATTAACTTCAATGAGCTTATACTCCAAATCATATCCGATAAATTCTCCTTTGATGCCAGAAATTGTCTTGGGATCCCACGTGACTAATATGGTTGCTAGAGATCTTCTTATCGATGCAGTGACCTTTGGAGCAGTCTCATTAACAACTGGTTCTGGCGTTGGCGTAGGTGCTGCGAAAAAAATTTAGATTTTAGGGTAACTAAGCATACCTTTGGGGATTAACACAGATCTTATCTCACAGGCATTCGTTCCTCCTTAACATAAGGCTCTGTCATCGTTTTTAATCCGACCGCTTTTACTGGTCTCTGAGTATTCATATCCTTCATACTATTCCGTAGTGCTGAGTGGTGCTCTTCATTGTTTTTCTTTAATGATCAACCACTACTGAGTGAAAACGCAGTTGCCGAAGGTTAACGCCCTGGGCCCAGTTGTTCGAAGGCCGATTAGCGCTAACCCAGGGTTAGATTTTAATCTGGGTTTCTTTATTCCTTTACTCTAAAGCCTTTTTGGGAAAATTTTCCGTGTCCTTTTTAAAGCATCAAATAGTCATACTCTAGACAAAAAGAATTCGACAGAATTTTCTTTTAAAGCTTTTAGATCTGAAATCGGATTTCACACTAACCCTGGGTTATCTTAACCCAGCTTTGAACAACCCGGCCCTGGACCATATGAAGGGTCCCATGTCGTACCCTAGAAAGATCACTGTGTTTTATCGTTGGGTAAGGCAGCTTTCACGGTTCCTCTTCCCACCCAGGAGTGTAAATGGATACAGGAACACCGTAAGGAAAGCCTAGAAGACTGCTCTAGGGATCTTGGGATCTACCATCCCATTTAGGAGGCCTAACTTAGTTCAAGCTGGGCGAAACAGAGCGGCCCCGAAGGTTATGGACCACTTTGTTCTTAAGATGTGCTTTAAGTCTAAAAACTATTTTGGAGTGTTTTCCATACACACTATGAAAACTTTAGATAATGAATCACATGAAACACTCACAATTCTCTGTCTGAAGACACCCTGTGGTGTTTCCCCACCCTGTAGTAATGAGACTTGCCATTTCGATACAGCCACTGGAATTCACAGTGATATTTGTCAAACACGATTCAACAAAAATTGATCTGTTTGTATCGCGAAGGAAAATGGCATATCCTACTATTGGGGAGTCTGTATTGTTGAGCACAGGTTTCCAATGGATAGTTATCGATGAGGATCCATTAGTGGTGGCGTTTGCCTCAGGAGGAGGCGGAAGTGACACATCTAAGAAGAAAACATTATTTCATTGAAATATCAAATTAGTAACTTTATGCTGTCTGTGAACCATGAAATCAAGAACCCCATAGTGGTATCCAATGACTGGCAAACATTAAGAAACAAAAGGGGAAAATCTTCAGTGAGTCAAACAGGAGCATCAGATCATATCTATATGTACGTTGCGCTAGAGAAGTATTAACTTGCTATTATTATTATCATTATTGAAAAGACAGACGAACGAACAAATGAACAACGCACCAAAACGATGAATGACTAGAGGTAGAATTAATTGAGGGCAAATCTTTGTATGAGTGTTGTCAAAGATCGCAAATATAAATCTTCTTTGCTGGAGTCAGTCATTGAGGGGAATTCAATTTCAAAGAGAACTGAGAAACTGCACACCAACCCCTCCCCTAATCCAACAACAGCCGACTGAAAGAAACAGATAGGTTTAAAGCTGGATTAAGGGAGGGGAAGGTGCGCAGTTGCTCGGATACTGACATTGATCCGAGTAATTCAACTCTTCCCTTCCATTACAAACACAAAAAAAGGAGGTAGCTGGCTTCTTACCTCTTTTTTCTGTATAGAGGTAATAACAGTCACTGAGACTTTCCTCCCCCAGTTCCTCGGTAATGGCTCCAATGCGGATACAATACCCGGTGGACGCGGACAGATTTCCAATCTCAAAAGCTGTGACGTTAGGGCCAACAGTAAAGTTCCTTAGAAGCTCGCCTTCTTTGTCCGGGATCGACCGTCTCTTCCTACTCTTTCCACTCTTCCAAGCTCTCATGCGGAGCACTAACACGCGGTAAGCCACCAAAGTGTTGTTACCGGCGTAAGGCTTCCATTGGACCGCTAAAGAATTGGGGCTTGATTTCACAGTGGTCAGGTTTGACGGTTGATCTAAGATCGGATCCGGTGAGTCTTTGAATGGGAAAAAGAAAATTAGACAAAGATGAGATTTCTGGGACATTTTAATATGATTATCAAAGGTGGACGCCATAAACAGACGCCCAATTTGGAACAGATGACATATTCTGCTGCTGTTAATATGTAACCCTTTAAATCAAGAGATGATTGACATGAAAGTGTTCCTCTTCAATACATTTTCAATCCATTAACCCTGTACACCCTGACATCAGCCGGCATATTCTCCACATCTTCAGGTGCTGACAAAGCGAGAGAGCTCGTTTAGTTGGCGATCATTTCTTTTACTCTCATGACCTCAATGCTTAATTCGGTTGTGATACTGTAAGGAGAAATTCAATGCCACTTACTCTGGGGGGTAAACAGGTTAATAGATCGTGACGTCTGTACTTGCCTGGGCAATCTTGAGAATTACAGCTTCTGTTCTCCTGATGTGAACTATCACCGTAACTACACGGTGATGCACAAGTCCTGTTGCGAAATTGTACACCTCGATCACATGACTTGCTGCAACTGCTCCATTCACTCCATTGCGTATAAAGAATAGAGTTGTTACCAGACCCCTCTCCTATAGAATGGTGTTTTAATTCATTAGCATAATGGTGACAAAGCTAAGATCCCTCTGCGCATTACGCGAACTTGCCCATAGAAATTGAAAATGACGTGTCTGAGATCCAAAATGTATAAGGGTCCCCTCGCTTTAAGTATATTTATCTCTCTCAAGGGGTTTGAAAGGAGAAAAAAAGAATAATTATCACTAATTCTTCAGTGGCCCTTCATAATTTGGAACTTACCATCAGACCTGTTAATAAAAAGATTAAGAGGCGCAATTTTCCATAGCATAAATTAGAGTAAAGCACGTATCAGAGGTCTGGAGGCGGTGCGAGGTGCGCGGAGAGTTTCGTAACTTGAGTGCAATATGTAATTAGATCAACTTGAAGCCATTGTTTCTTATTTAAATGTTGAGCTGCCCACGATCCGCTAAGACTATTGTTATTGAGTCAGCCATAAATGGCAGCATCTACCTCGCTTTTTCGCGAAGAGGAACTAATTTCATCGTCAAGGATTGCACCGCTTACTATACCCATAGCGTCCTGACATTTAGGAGGTTCTTTGATATAGGGAGAATCAATCAATACATCAATCAGTAAACCAACAAGTCAGTCGGTCATTCATAAATGGTGCTGTCAATAATCCATTTAAGTCCCCTCTCCACCACGCCCCTTCCCTCCACGTCTGTTGATCTCCACCAACAAAAGTTTTTAAAACCTCTTTGAGTGTCTTGATTTAATCGTAAATATGCCAGTCTCGTGTGCATGTTCTGTGTATCTGTCACCTATATTTTTTTACGACATGTTATTGTGACTCTAAGAAACTCCTGTCGACTTCATTGTATAGAATGCAAATCATAATCCTATTGCCTTATTGATCAAATTAACCCCGCCGGAAGATTTAGTATTATCGCCGACAAACATCGTTAACACGGTTAAAATTTACTAACTTATTTTCCTTTTACAACATTAGTACCATAATCAGTAAACAGATTATGAGAAACTACTTAACCAGGAATATATAGCAGCTAGAAGAAAGTATAACAACTCAAATTATGGGAGGTTAAGATTTGATTTCATCTCTATTCTGTAGACTGGGACCTTGGAAGGGAATTCGGCGAATTACTGACCAAAGACGAAATAAATCAGTTCTTTTTATCGCATACCCCAGTCATATCACTCGCTAACAACAAAATCAACAAAATCAATAAAAACGCCTCTCAAGGTTTTGCTTATTAAATTAGTCAGTCAGAGCAGGTGGTAATGCGCAACTGATCTGGGGACGGAGACCCAAGTTTTCCATGGAAGGAGGGGGGGCTACAAGTGTATCTTACTGACTTTAGGGGGATGACAAGAGGTTTTGCTATAACAAGTTATCCCCCTCTTTTGACGGGGAGTTGAGTAGAAACCCCATACACTCCTTCCCCCGCCCCCTCACAGCGCGTTCGTTGAGCTCCTTTGGGAGCCATTGGCTAAGAAGCCCAAGTCCTTACCAATATTTTTAAGAAAAATGAACGATATTTTTTGTTGTTACTTCAGTGAGCAATGTTTTCATGTCTGCAAAACGAAAACTGTATTTTCATGGTCTTAGTTTACCTTGCTCCTCAATGGCACAGCCACTGGAAACACTGTCTCCATATTTGGTAAATCCATAGACCAGTACACAACCAATGTCGGCACGTTTAGTAATTCCAGGAAATTTCTGACTCTTTTCCTCTGCAGAAAATGTCCATATCCCGTGAATAGAGTTATTTGGTTTCTTAACTTCTATTTTGTATCCGTCGAGAACGTCCCCATGAAAATACACAGGCAACAGACTCCATCTGACCTGTAGTCCACCATCTTCAACTGAAAACGAAACGCTGTCAGGAGCGCGTGTCGGGACTGTAAAAAAACATGAAATTATTTTCAGTATCTGTTATAATGTAGTGTAAGCCTGGTCCGAATTGAAGTGTCTAAACAAACACAAAGCAAATGCTCCTCAACCATCCCAGCATACGTTTTCATTTCAAAACATTTTCACCACACTAGAACGCTCGGGGATATGACGATTTTTGGCCTGACCTTTTCATAATTCCCCACTCTCATTTATCCTATTCATTTCAAAACACTAAACGGCTGTCTATAATTCTCACTAGAAATTTAAACGTGTTCATATTTACATTCATTAATTACATATTTATTACCCATGATTTATTGTCTTTCGTTCTGTCATAGTCAGTACGCGCGCTATGATTGGTCGATTGAGCAGGCCGTATTTTACCCTAAAGCCCGCTAAATTTAAAAGTTTGTTTGAATTGAAATCCTCCCCCTCTCTTTGAACCCAGAGACATAATGAACATCTTACTAACGTGCACTTTGATTGATCACATTTCACTATGCGACCCGCTATATTCAAAAGTTTGTTTGAATTGAAATCTTCCCCCTCTCTTTGAACTCAGAGAGAGAGATAATAAATATCATAAATAGTAAATATATAATAAATATATATTAGATATAATAAACTCACCTCGTTTTCTCGTTCTATACTATGAGTTACAGAAACTCTTTTTTTCCCGCTGAGATTTATGGTCCTTACGCTTCGTGCGTGAGCCATAAATTCTTGCGGAGAAAATTCAGTCCATAACTTACAGTAAGGACCTCGAACTCGGTTAGTAACAGGTTTATCTATTCGTTTATTTTAAGGAACTGGTTAAATTGGTTTTATTCATATTCAATAAGTAAAACTACTCAGAACTGGAGAAGAATCAATTATGAGTAAGATCACCAAAATACCTCTTTCTGAATTAATTTGTCCATAAATTTCCAGCCTTAAACATGGCATGCGATGCCACTCCAGCGGCCGCAGCTTCACATATTGCGTCACAACCCCGGACTCCAACAAGTTTTTCTGTACACGGTTGTAGTCACTGTTGGCTTCAAACTCCTAAAATGCATTTAATGACTGGTCATTATTTACCGCCTCGGGAGGGGGAGGAGAGTCGGAGGATATTTCTGTATCACGACAAAATTTATCTGATCCCCCCATAAAACTCTGTAATACTCTTATGAGAATAAGGGAGCCTTAAGGTACCAAAGATATATCAACCTGAGCGTTTTTTCTTAATCGTGTATGCAAACTTGCTTTATTCGTGCAAGTTTGACTCTCTATTCATTCTTAAGCCTTTTTGTCCAAAGATATCATTATTTGTTTTCCTTACTGTCTGCCATATCATTCTTACTATATTTGTTCAGAGAATTTGGAAGTGGATCAAGTAATTATTCCCTTGTCTGCTTGATATGATGTTGATATTATAGGGAGAAATTCAGTCTTGGTCACCTGAGGTATTCAAAACATCAGACAGATTTAAAAAATCTCTCATATTCAGACAAACCTTTTCCTCTTGCTAATTCACGAACCTTGAAAATTCCATTTTCCTTGTAAACTTCGTATTTACTGTTTCTGTTTGCCAGTTCAACTTTGTATTTTTTCACATAGTCCTTGCTTTGTCCACCCTGGGTACCAATGGCGCAAATAAAATGAGGCGATTGCAAGTTAACCTCAAGGTAAACTTCGCTTCTGAGAAAAGCACACCACCCCCCTGTGGAACTCAGGCGTGCATCATAGGGTGAAGTACCGTTTAACGTATTGGTGGATTGCATGGCATAGTCTGGTATGGCTCTGTTTTCTAGTCCAAGTGGCATATCAGAACAGTTTTGATGTGGCCAAGCGAAATCTGCGATAGATGTCATTCAAAAACAAAGCAATTTAAAGAAATAAATAGAACGCACAAGTCGAGAGATAATTAGAAAGAAAAATTATTCTTTTGATCATCTAAGATGACTTCAATAAAACAGATTATTTTTTCACACGTAAATATCTGAATTGTACTGTGACTAGAGGAGCAGCATGGCTACCTGTTGTATGGCGACGGCTCCACTCCAATTTTAAAGGAAACTAAGTTCTGAGAATAAAAAGGTTGAATATGGAAAGCTCATGAGAACTGAAATCTTAAAAACATCTTGCCTTGAGATCTTACCAAGACCCCGCCAAAATCCGACCAAAAGTTTCACCAGAATGTCAACAGAATTATCGATTATCAGGGAGGAAATTAACATAAAAATCAATGACGACCTACCTTTTCGCTTACAGACAAAGGAACATTTTCCTGAACACCATTTCTTTTCCCAAACTTCACTTTCCTCATGATACGCAACACACTTATTTACATTTTCTTGATCTTTCAACTTTGTAAAGTTCACAAGAGAACCGTCATTCCAAGCAAGGAGATGCCTTGTCGTTTTAAATTTCAAGCCAATCCACGAGCAAGTCTTTGGCTCTCTTTCTGTTAAAGATTTGACAAACTGATTTTCAGACTCACTGTAGATGGATACCAGATGAGAATTAAGGTTGTAACACTTGTCAGCGGCCTCACTCCACTCTATCTTGCCTTCACTCTTCTCAGAGGCACGATAGCAGTTTCCACCATAGCTTGACCATCCCTGTAAACATACTGTGAAAAAAAGAATGTAACTTTAATGGACGTAACTTATGGACCAGTCAATTTTGCTTGGGAGGGAGGGGTCAGGGGATTTGGGGGAGATCACTTGATTATCAGAGGGGGGGCCAGTCCGTTCAGTCGTCGCCAACAAGGAATAAAGAGGTGACCCACAACGGGACCTTTGGGGGGATCAGGTAAATTTTATTTTGACACAACCAAAATCCAAAGACCTTCCCCCTCCCCCTAACCCCCAAGGCGATAAATAATGATCAGACCCTGCCTCAGTTAACAAGTTTCTACCCCATCTTTCTTCCTGGAAGAGGGGAGGTACAAGCCATACTCTCCTATAAGACAACAAATCACCTTTATCGCGATATCCAAGATGTTATTTTTATTTTTTTGGTCTAGAAGGTTTGTGTATCCAAACTAAGATACAACAGGGCACTGATGATTTTATGGTTCTTTTTATTATTATTACACTTGATTTCTGTCTTGGACTACTCTCTATGGCATAAGGATCAGTTTCTTAATTTACCCAAAACACCCAAACATCAGTATCCATATTCTCAATACTCTTCTCTATACATTTCCTTTGGCACTGACAAGGAGAATTGGTTTGACAATCAAAGCTTCTTAGGTTTGTGATCATTTCCTTTATTCTCATGACCTTTTAACTAATTCAGCAGCATTGCTGTAAGGAGAAAATAGATGCTGGTCACTCCTAAGGAAGGTTAACTTATAATCCTAAAGAAAACCTTACCTGCTGGAGTGTGAAGGTCAGTACACTCACTTCGAGGACCTTCTCCCGCTTCACTATAACCAACGACTGATATACAGTAAGTCGCATTTAATTTCAGGTTAAAGAGTTTGGTCGAATTATCCTGTACATCTTTCTTCTGCTGTTCTAATCCCTCTGCACCAGCTCCTTTTATGTAATAATACACCCAATATCCAATAACTCCCAAACCTCCATCGAAGAAGTCCGGGATGAAATTCCAGCTTACTTGTACCGTTGTCAAAGATATTATCTCCGTGGTCAAATTCGTTGGTGCACCGGTTGGTGGACCTGTGGAGAAAATCATAAGATGCATCAATGTTAATATGGTTAGGAAACTGGACTACAAACTCCATGTGAGAGTTTGACTCATTAATCAGGAGCTTGGATGAAGCAAGTGTTAACGAACTTCCGTTGTTTCGGAATCAACTTGCCTGCCTCTGCGTAAAGATGTGCTTTTTTTTTTTGCTTAATGTGCAATATCTCCAACCGTTAATTTCGAGGTCTCCGAATTCTACTAATGGTAGATGAGAGCCAAATATTGTACCTAGCATTTACGTTCGTTGGCAGAAACCTTTTACCTCTAAACCACAAAATATATGTTCAACGCAAGCAGAGAAAAATCTAAGGTTAAAAAAGGTTTAAGCGAAACAATGAGACAGATACCAACCTTCCTGAGATTTCGACTCATTTCCATAAAGTTCAATTCTCAAACAGGGATGAACAGAGAACTTCAATGGCCAGATCCGAAAGTGTTGAGCTACTGGAACTTGTTTAAACAC